TATTTTTTATTATAGAGACGAGGTCTCACCAAGTTGCCTGGGCTGGTCTTGAACCCGTGGGCTCAGGCAGTCCACTCGCCTCAGCCTCTCAAAGTGCTGGGATTACAGACTGAACCACTGAACCCGGCCTGGTATTTTTGTTTTTTTTGTAGAGATAAGGTCTCACTGTGTTGCCCAGACTAGTCTCAATCTCCTGGCTTCAAGCAAGCCTCCCAAAGTACTGGGATTACAGACATGAGCCACTGTGCCCGACCTCAAAAAGCTTTCTTTACACAGACATTTCTTGTGTGTTTGTGATAAAATTTGCATTAATAGAATATGATCCTATATTTCACATAAGTGATCATCTTAGAGACTGTTATAATATGAAAAATCTTTTAAAAATAATCCTCAGTAGACAAAGCAGGATACAGAATTGTTTATTTTGTATTATCACATCCTAGATCAGTACATGGCACACTGTAGGCATGTGGTAAATATTTGTTGAATACATGATCATCGCTGGCATGAATCTCCCTATGCAAACAAAAAGAGCCATATTAAAATGTTAATAGTCAGGCTTTATGTGATGGGATTAAAAGTGATTTTCATTCTATGATTTCCACTTTTATTTTTGTCCCCATGTTTTCTATAGTGAGTACAAGGACTTTTTGGAAAAAGTAGCTGTCATTAAAATTTTTTGAACTTGAATCAAAGAAGAGATGTTCAGGACTCTATTCAAGTTAATATTATATATTACTTAAGTAATAATCCTAACTCTCCCAAAATTCTTTAAAATAAATATTATTCTCTCCATTGTATAGATGAGAACACTGAGGGTTAGAGAGATTAAATTATTGAGGTTCATATAATTAGTAAACTAAGCCAGGACTAAAATCTGGGTCTGACTCCAAATTCTATTGTCTTCATAATCATTTTTCTATATCAAATTGATGAGATTTTCAAATGAAATTTTTCTTCAAATTTTTTGTAGAGATAAGGTCTTGCTATGTTGACCAGCTGGTCTTGAGCTCCTGGACTCCCAAAGTGCTGGGATTACAGGCATGAGCCATGGTGCCTGACCCAGATGAGATTTTTTTTTTCAAAGTTTTTGCCATTTGTATCAGGATCGGTAGCAAAATTGAGGTTGTAACAGCTTGTTGTTCAATGAAAAATGTAGGATTTCTAGTGTGTGTAAGTTCTCTGAGGCCCTTATGCTCTAATTGATTTCAGAATTTGGTGATGTAGCCACTTCTCTAGCAGCAAACCCAAATGCCACCACGATAAGCATTGAGGATCCTGATGAAACCCCAAAACATCTGCCAGGACCCCCAAGAGGCTCAGGGAGAGAAGAGGATGATGAGTTGCTGGGAAATGATGACTCTGACAAAACTGAGGTTTGAACTTGTCTTTGAATTTTAAAAACTTTTTAAAGATTATTCATGCATTTATTCATGACCGTATGCCAGATACAGTGCCAGGTAGTGACAGCACAAAGGTACATGATACGTGGCCTCTGCCTTGGTGAGAGAAACAGGCAAACAGACCACTGTTGTCCATGGGAAGTGCAATGGAGGAGGGGAGCCCTGGAGAGCTGGAGCAGAGAGACTGGTTTATGGAACTTGGGGTTCTGTGTTCAGTGTCTTGTAACATCAGAATGGGAGAGAATCTTCCATTGCAGACTTTTTCCCAAGATGATAATGTTGTCCTTGGTATGCAGGAAAGACAGCACTTGAATACCTCCAGGAACAGACTGTTCACTACCATGCGAGGCAGTTGCTGCCACTGTTGGACTTTAGTTATGAAAATGCTTTCCTTTATAATGAGCAAAAATATTTGCATAGAGCACCTGTCCTTGTCCTGCAAAGCTGCGCAGAGGCCACCCATGCCTCTTGCTGTGTGAGTCCTCTTCACACATCTTCAGATATCTGAAGGTGGCAGTGCCCATTCCTGGCATAGGGCCCCCATTCTGCCACCTAAGAGCTGTGCTGTTGTTGGGATAGGCATGGCCTTAGGTACTGCTTTTAAATGGAAAGTTGGGGGGTTTTGTGTGTTTGTTTTTGGGTTTTTTGAGTCAAAATCTCATTCTATCGCCCAGGCTGGAGTGCAGTAGCACTATCACAGCTCACCACAGGCTTGACCTCCTGGGCTCAGGTGATCCTTATGCCTCAGCCTTCCAAGTAGCTGGGACTACAGGTGTGCACTACCATGCCTGGCTAATTATTTTATTTTATTTTATTTTATTTTATTTATTTATTTATTTTTGAGTTGGAGTCTCACTCCGTCACCCATACTGGAGTGCCGTGGCACGCTCCCAGCCACCGCAGCCTCAACCTGCTGGGCTCCGGCGATCCTTCTACCTCAGTCTTCCAAGTAGCCGGAACTGCAGGCACGCACTACCATGCCCGGCTAATTTTTTGATTTATTGGAGAGATGAGGTCTCGCCAAGTTGCCCAGGCGGGTGTCAAACCCGCAGGCTCAGGCAATTCACTCACCTCAGCCTCCCAAGGCGCGGGATTACAGGCTGAGCCACCGAGCCTGGCTTATTTTATTTTTTATAGTGACAGGGTTCCATTATGTTGCTCAGGCTGGTTGCAAATTCCGGGACTCAAGCGATCCTCCTGACTGGGCCTCCCAAAGTCCTGGGATTACAGGTGTGAGCCACTGTTCCTGGATGGATTTTTTTTTTTTGGTCAAAGTGGTAATATTTGTAGTATTGTAGAGTGAGTCAGTCAGTATAACAGGTTTTTGAGGAGTCAAGTGGCAATAGTAGGAAGGACCTTGGATGAATAGAGGAGGAAAGATAGTTATACTAACTGCCTTTTCTGTGTGTGTGTGTATATATATTATTGTACATAATACAGATTCTGTATCCTTTTGACTTTAACTTTCCCTATAATCCTTTGAGGTAGATCTTGTTAGCTGTACTTCTTAGATAAGGGAACTAAGCCTGAGGGGTGTCTCATGATTTGCCAAAGTTCCTGCCAGTGGAGGGACCAGGATTTGACCCCTTTGGTGTGACTTCAAAACTGATGCCTGTCCTTATATCAGGCTGAGGGTCGGGAGTGGGCTATTGCAGAGTAGATTATTGAAGAGCTTGTTGTTGCACGTGTTTTGGTCTTGCACCAGATCAGCTCCCTCTACCCCCTTCCACACAGCTGGAATTAAGAAATTGCTTCTGTGTTCATTATGTTTTATTTTACCTCTGACAGTTACTTGCTGGACAGAAGAAAAGCTCCCCCTTCTGGACATTTGAATATTATCAGACATTCTTTGATGTGGACACTTACCAGGTTTGTAAACCAATTTCACCTTTCCTTTGACATGTAATGAAGACGTGTTTCTTCTATGGTTAAACAGTCAAATAATTTGAAAACCTTTATATACTGGAAATGGTCATACAGAAGTAAAGGGTTGTTAGCATTTGAAAATGGTATCATAAAAGCTCTCATAACTGAGTTTCAATTTTGTTTTTGTTGAATTTATTAAACTTAAATTCTTCAGTACAATTACTACTATGTTGTTTTCCAGGTCTTTGACAGAATTAAAGGGTCTCTTCTGCCAATACCCGGAAAAAACTTTGTGAGGTTATATATTCGCAGCAATCCAGATCTCTACGGTATGTTTAGTGCCAATTTGATTATTTACCTTATTTCAGTTGAGGTTGGATGAGTGTGAGGGTTGCCTGGAAAGTTGGAGAATTGCTCTGTTGGTGGGGCATGCAGTGTTTTATTGGACTCCTCTGAGTCAGTAGCAACCCTTGCAAGGAGTTTTGGGGAAAATGCAATTATGTGTTATAGTAATGCCATGATTACAAGTACTTTAAATTAGTCTCCAAATGACATCACAAACTTGAGACACATTAAGCTGCTTTGACTAGGAGAAGATTGTTGATTTTCATTTATTCATTTGTGCTTATCTCCATGCTGGGCACTAATAAGGTACTCAACAGATGTTAGTTCTCATTCTTTGTCCTCTTTAGGGCTAGGGACTATGGCCTATCTCCTTTGGTGATAGGGGAAAAGGTCTTCTTACTCTTTTTTCACTGATGTGCTGAGTTCCAACTCTGCCCTCAGATGAGTTGGCTCCCTCTGGGATTTGGTCACCAACACTGGAAGTCTGAAGCAGGGTTGGGCCAGGAGTGGCTGTCATCCCTGACCTCGCTACTGTCTGAGATAAACCCGGAAGTCCACCCAGTGCTCCTGAGGAAAGGGCCCCAACAGCAGTGGCCTGTGTTTGAGAGAGAGTTCTGTCTGCTTGCTTGGTGCCATATTGGAGACTTTGTGTATTTGGTCATATCTCGTTCTTGCCACGACCCTTTGCAAAGTATCCCTACTTTTCACATGAGGAAGCTGAGGCTCAGTGAGGTTCACTGATACATATGCTCAATCCTAAATGATAAGTAGTAAAGCAGTTATACATGTTGATTCTAACCATGGGCTCTGTGGAATTCCCAGAACTCCAGAGAGTCTGGGTATGAAAGCCATCGCGTTGGCCCATGCCTCTAATCTGAAGGTTGTCAGTGTGGTTTCTCTGTCTGGCTGCCTCATTCATTCTAACTTCTATCCTGAGAACTTCTTGAGGGGCAGGCTCTGCATCTCAGTAATCCATATCTTCAGTGCCTGGCAGAGGTCTTGGCACAGAGCAGTTGTTCAGTTGTGCCAGGCCTTGTACTAGATGCTGAGGAGGAGATGGGCCATGGTCCCTACCCCCAAGGAGGACGAAGAGCAAGAACTAACATCTGTTGAGTACCTTATTAGTGCCCAGCATGGAGATAAGCACAATTCTGGTATTTTACGCTCTTTTATTTCCACACTCCAAGGTAGCCTTATCTCACAAAAGAGAAAAGTGAACCTTGAGGAGGGTTACTTGCCCACAGTCACAGAGTTAGCAATGATAACAATAATAGCAAACATACATATATAATGCTTATTATGTGCCAGGCACTGTTATTAGGGCAGGACCTATATTAACTCACTCAGCCCTTATGATAACTCCAACTTTATGAGGCAGGTACTATTATTATCCCCATTTTATGGAAGAGGACGCTGAGTCACACAGAGGTCCAGTAACTTGCCTACAATCATACAGCAAATGGGTGCCGAGCTCAGTTTTCCAGTTAACACCGTACCCCATAATCCATATTCTTCACCACCATGCTGTGTTTTGCCCCTCATGACAAAGCAGGGTTTGAACCCAGAGCTTGCTGCTTTTCCATGATACCAGTAACCTCACTAGCTCAGAAACATGGTTAAAGAACAAGGTGTGGCAGGGCTCAGTGGCTCAGCCTGTAATCCAAGCACTTTGGGAGGCCGAGGTGAGTCGATTGCCTGAGCTTGTGGGTTCAAGACCAGCCCAGGTAACTTGGCAAGACCTCGTTTCTACAATAAATAAAAAATTAGCCGGGCGTGGAGTACGCACCTGTAGTTCCAGCTACAGTTACTTGGAAGACTGAAGCAGAAGGATCGTTAGAGCCCAGCAGATCGACACTGGGGTGACTGTGAGTGTGCCACGACACTCCAGCCTGGGCGACAGAGTGAGACTCCAACTCAAAAAAAAAAGAACAGGGTGCAATAGTATATAGCAGAGAGGGTGAGACCTTGTGGGATGTTTGAATGATGGCAGTCAGGGAAAAAAAGGTGACAGTCTGCAGAGTGAAAGGACAAGTTTGACGACTTTGACACAATTCAGCTAAAATGTAAAGTTTCTAAATAGCAAGCTAAACCATAAGCAAAGTAAAAAAAAAAAAACAAAAAAAACTGCAGACCAGGGGAAATATTTGCAATGCACATAACCATCAAAAGATGAAAGCAAGAATATATGTAGAACGCCTACAATTTCAAGAATAAAACAAGCAAGTTTGGGGAAAATGGGCAATTTACAGAAGAGAAAACCCAAATGGCTAGTCAATATATGAAAAGATGCTTAGACCCCCCGAAGTGAGGGAAATGAAAACTAAAATAAGGTATTTATTCATGTCCATTATTTTAGCAAATATATACCAGTTGGCTTATTTTCATTCATTCAACTAATTCACCAAATATTGAGCTCTTATTGTTCTAGGTCCTGGAGATACAGCAGTGATGAAAACAGACAAAAATCTCTACCCTTAGGCAGTTTATAATCAAAATAGTTTAACAATAAGAAAGAAACATAAAATATATACTTTTCTAGTAATGAAAGCTAAGATGGAAATTGAAAAACAGAGGAAGGTCATGAAATGTTTGTGCAGGTGAGTGAATTTGAAGTTTTGTTTTTTTTTGAGTTGGAGTCTCAGTCTGTCACTCAATGGTACAGCTCCCGGCCACCGCAGCCTTGACCTGCTGGGCTCCAGCAATCCTTCCACCTCAGCCTTCCAAGTAGCTGGAACTACAGGTGCACGCTACCATGCCCGACTAATTTCTGATTTATTGTAGCGACAAGATCTCGCCAAGTTGCCTGGGTGGGTCTTGAACCAGCGGGCTCAGGCAGTTCACTCGCCTTGGCCTCCCAAAGTGCTCGTATTACAGACTGATTTTGGAGTTTTGAAAAGGTGAATTTTGAGAAAAGACTTGAAGGAAATGGGTTTGATTCATGTAGATAAGAGCATTTGAAGCAGAGGGATCAGCAAGTGCAAAAGCTCTGAGGCAGGAGCTAGTCTGGTATGTTCAAAGAACAGCGAGGAGACTTGTGTGACTGGACAAGTGGGAGCAAAAGGCCAAGTCTGGAATGAAGTCAGAGAGAGAACTTGCGGGGGCAGATTGTGTAAGGTTCTGTAAGTCACAGGGAGGACTTGGGCTCTTACTTGAGAGGCTGTTGGAGGGTTTGGGCAGAGCAAGGACATACTCCAAGTCAGATTTCATAAACATTGTTGCTTAGTGTTGTCAAGAGTGTGGGGCATTGGGGACTTTTGTATAAGGGGGGGACCCCAAAAATTGGAATTATCTTTTGGAGGGCAGGCCCCTTGTAGTACAGGCTTTCTTCACTAGGTAAGTGTTCTAGGAACCCATTGGCATCAGTGTACCAGTTAGTGTTGTTGTGAGAGGTTGCGTTCGGTTTCAGTGAGTTTTTTTTTTTTTTGAGTTGGAGTCTTACTCTGTCACCCAGACTGGAGTGCAGTGGCCGCTCCCGGCCACCGCAGCCTCAACCTGCTCCTGCGATCCTTCCGCCTCAGCCTTCCGAGTAGCCGGAATTACAGGCATGCGCTACCACGCCTGGCTGATTTTTTGATTTATTGTAGAGATGAGGTCTCGCTGCCCAGGCGGGTCTCGAACCTGCGGGCTCAGGCAATCCACTCACCTCAGCCTCCCAATGGCGCAGGATTACAGGCTGAGCCACCGAGCCTGGCTAGTTTTTTGTTTTTTGTTTTGAATTGGAGTCTCTGTTGCCTAGGCTGGAGTACTGTGGCACACTCATGGCCACCCCAGCATCAACTTGCAGGGCTCTGGTGATCCTTCCACCTCAGCCTTCCAAGTAGCCAGAACTACAGGCGCATGCTACCACACCTGGCTAATTTTATTTATTGTAGAGATGAGGTCTCACCAAGTTGCCCAGGCTGGTCTCGAATCCGTGGACTCAGGCAGATGACTTGCCTCAGCCTCCCAAAGTGCTGGGATTACAGGCTGAGCCACCAAGCCCAGCCTTCAGTGAATTTTTTTTGGAGAGTCTTTCAATGCATTTGCCTGTTTCATGATGAGTGATTTACATAAGCAACCTGTCCACATCACACTGAGTGTTCAGCATTTTTGACCAAAAATGGTATGACCCCCATACCCCACCCTCACTATTCACCGAATCTCACCCTGAGCAACTGTTTTTAGTTTCTGCTATGAAGAAAGTCCTCAAAGGAAAATGTCTTGCCAATGTGGAAGAGGTGAAACCAGAAGCACTAAAAGGCATCAAAACTGATGAGTTCAAAAACTGTCTTGAGCAGTGGAACAAAGTGTCTTGATAGGTGCATTGCATCAAACGAGGAGTACTTTGAAGGTGACTGAAGTTTAAACATGCATGCATAAATACGAAATTTTTTGTAAATAAATTTCGAGTTTTTTTGGGTCCCCCCTTGTAATGCTGGTGGATATGTACCTGATAAGCAAATTGGAGCAGTTTGAAGGTGTTCATACTGTACAGTTCAGCAGTTTCACTCCTAGTTATATATTTTTTAGAGAAACACATGTATGGGGTGACATATAGAACAATATTATTCACTGCAACAGTTTTATTTGTAATAGCAAATATTTAGAACCAAGAAATCCATTAGCAGGAGAATAGATAAGTAAGTTGTGTGTCTTCCTGTGTGGAATTCCATCATATTTTAAAATGAAAGAACCTTAAGAGCATCAACATGGATAAATCTCAGAACAATGGCACATGGAAGAAAGGCATGTTGTAGAAGGATATGACTAGCATGATGCCATTAAAAAGACTTTAAACTGGCTAATAGGCATATCAGTGTTTGTGTTCTTATTCTTGGTGCCTTACTGTAGGTTAGAATATTTCATAATATAAACGGGCATAAGATGAAATTCTGATTATAAATGTAAACTAAATTAAAGCTCTCTGTCGCCCTCACCCCATGATAAGAGTAGAGATTTGGCAGAAAAGAGGGAGAAGACAGAGCAATGTGGCCGGTCCTGGGGTATGTGGTCTTGTATGTCTCTGGAGCCCAGGCTTTCTGTGGGGGCAGCTGGAGAGGTTACAGAGCCCAGATCTTCATGGTGGGCTTTTTATAGCAGCTAAGCAATTTGGATTTTGACCTTAAGCAGTGGAGGTTCATTGGAGGACTGAAACAGGGAAGAGAGATGATGTTACTGCAAAGGTGGCAAGAATGCTAAGGATTGGGAAAGTTTTCTTCCCGAGGATTAGCATTGGGCCAGATGGCAAGAGTGGGTAGGCAGGTGTTGATGATTTTTCAGGTCACCTGAAAATATCGTTCCTCCTGCTATTTCTATGCCAGCGTTGTTAGGAGACTCAGGGCATGGGGCAGCCCGAGGATGCTGGACAAGTCTTTAAATCAGAATACAAATTTTCTCATACCAGGCTTCTTCTTTTTTTTTTCCTTTTTTTTTTTTTTTTTTGAGTCAGTCTCACTCCGTTGCCCAGGCTGGAGTGCAGTGGCATACTCACTGCCACCCCAGCGTCGACTTGCTGGGCTCTGGTGATCCTTTTGCCTCAGCCTTCCAAGTAGCCAGAACTACAGGCGTGCACTACCACACCCATCTAATTTTTTTGGTTTATTGTAGAGACAAGGTCTCACCAAGTTGCCTGGACTGCTCTGGAACCCGCAGGCTCAGGCAATCCACTCATCTTTTTTTTCTCTTAAGAGACAGGGTCTGGCTGGGCTTGGTGGCTCAGCCTGTAATCCTAGCACTTTGGGAGACCGAGGCTAATGGATTGCCTGAGTCTGCAGGTTCAAGACCAACCCAGTAACTTGGTGAGACCCCTTGTCTCTACAATAAAAATAAAAAATTAGCCGGGCGTGGTAGCATGTGTCTGTAGTTCTGGCTACTTGAAAGGTTGAAGTGGAAGGAGCCTAGTAGGTCAACTCTGGGGTGGCCGTGAGTGTGCCACTGCCCTCCATCCTGGTCAACAGAGTGAGACTCCAACTCAGGAAAAAAAAGAGACAGGGTCTTGCTCTGTCACCCAGGCTGGAGTGCAGTAGCTGTATTCACAGGTGCAATCATAGCTCACTGTAAACCCTGAACTCCCAAGCTCAAGCAATCCTCCTGCCTCAGCCTCCCAGTAGCTGGGACTATAGGCTCACGCCATTGCACCTGACTCCCAGGCTTTCTTTACCCTCAGGATAAATTTCTAACTCAACAGCGCTTCTAAAACCCTTTATGATCTGACCCTGGCCTGTCCTTCCAATTTCTGACTACTCCCATTCTCAAAATCCCTGAGCCTCGAGCTGTTTTCTCTTGCTTCTGGGTTTCTTCTCTGCTGTTGCATCTGCCTGTGCCACACTTCTCTTCTCTTCTGTCTTCACTTGGCAAACTCCTGCTCCTCTTTGGATTTCAACTTAGACACCACTTTCTCTAGGCTTGGTGCCCTCCCTGTGTGCTCCCATAGGTACCCTGTACCTCCCTCTGGGATTAGTTGTTTTATTGACCACCACCCCAGTGTGCCTGAGCATACTAGAAGTAGTCACGGTGTCTCTGTTGCACATCCTTGCGTCTCTAGCTCCGGACCCAGAGGGTAGTGGGAACTTGGTAAACAATGGCTGAAAGAGTTTGATGGCCTTGACTTTCTAGTTATATGGGTATTGTAAATTAGTATTTGGGCCACTTGTGGTCATAAGCTTGGATGGTCTCAGCCCATCTCTAATACATGGTCAGTTTTGTTCATTCAGTAAAACTTTTTGATGGTGGGGGTTTTGTGGGGTTTTTGTTTGTTTGCATCTCTTATGTGGTAGGCACTCAGAATAGTACGGTGAGGCTTAGTCCCTACGGCAGTCTAGTGAGTAAACAGGCAATCTGTGGAAAGCTGATATTGGTGACTTTTTGGCACATCCCTGTTGGATTGCTTGTGTTTCCTTTACCACCTGCGGGAGCCAGTGCTTGGCTGTGGAAAGTACTAATCCATTTCTGCTAGTCATCTCTCCTGGTACAGTATTCATCTTAATTTTGTGATATGTGGAGGTACCTGAAACTATCCCAAAAGGTGTTACAAAATATTAGTGAAATTGAAAAATGAAATTCATAAAGTGTATTAACATTCAGTTTAAAAATTGTATTTGTTCTGCATAGTACTTTTTCTTTTCTTTTTTGTTTTTGTTTTTTTTTGAGTTGGAGTCTCACTCCTTTGCCCAGGCTGGAGTGCAGTGGCATGCACGTTCATGGCTACCCCACTGTTGACCTGCTAGGCTCACGCGATCCTTCTGCCTCAGCCTTCCGAGTAGCTGGAACTAAAGGCATGTGCTACCGTGTCCAGCTAATTTTTCTTGATTTATTATAGAGATGAGGTCTCACCAAGTTGCCCAGGCTGTTCTTGAACCTGTGAGCTCAAGTGGTCCACTCACCTTGGCCTCCCAAAGTGCTGGGATTACAGGCACATAATACTCTTTCTAGGTAAGGTGAAACAAGGATAGTATTCATGAAATTAGGGAAGTGATGCAAGAGATTTGTAAAGCGCCGTGCATGCATGCAGTCGGTAGAACAGAAGAATCATGATGGCAGAATCTCAGCTACACAGAAGTGAAAATAGGAAGGTGCACAGCAGGGTATATATATATATATGCGTGCCATCATCTATAAAATGCACACAACACACACACATTTGCTCATACATGAATAGAATCTTTCTGGAAGGATTTGCCAGACACTGGTTACTTGGGTGAGCTTTGGGGAGGGGAGATGAGAACCAGGACACAGAGAGGTTGGGAAGCTTGCTGTTCTCTGTTCCAACACTGAACTGTGTGCATGTGTTACTTTTCTGTCAAAAAGGAAGGAAGCCTTAAACATCCACACACACTCAAACACAACCTTGGTGAACAGGTGGATTAGATAGACTCCGTCCTCAGGTGTCCTGCTTGCCCTGCTTCTCACTCTGCAGAAGGACTTGTCTGACTTATTTTTCTCTGACATCAACACTTGGTAGTTAGATAAGGGAAGTCATCTTTGCTTCGTGTAATCTGACAAAAGGTTTAACAGAATGCCTATTAATTTTTTTGTGTGTGAGACCCTTCAATAAAAGAAGCTATACACAAATCAGTGTTTTTATTCACCTCATTGTGGAAAATGTTTTGGTGTTTGGATTTGAATTCCCCCTACCCCGTCTTTAAGGCAGCTAATTACTGAGTTGTGTTTTTTTTTTTACATTTTTTGCAGGATTTATTGAGAGGACAGAAAAACTCCCACAGTGGGAGGGGACCTAGGGGGTTGCCCTTGAGTTGTGTTTTGACTTTTTTTTTGAGTCATGGTCTTACTCTGTCTTCCAGGCTAGAGTACAGTGACACCATCATGACTCATCAAAGCCTCAACCTCCTGGGCTCAGATGATCCTTCCTCCTCAGTCTGAGAGTAGCTGGGATTCCAGGTATGAGCCACCACACCTGGCTAATTTTTAAAAAATATTTTTGTAGAGACAAGGTTTTACTATGTTGCCCAGGCTAGTCTTGAACTCCTAGACTCAGGCAATCCTCCTGTCTCAGCATCCCAAAGTGCTGGGATTCCATGTGTGAGCTACCACACCCTGCCTCTTTCGACCTTTCAAAAAAGAAAATTCTCTGCTGGGCATGGTGACTCAAGTTTGTAATCCCAGCACTTTGGGAGGACAACATGAGAGGATTGCCTGAGCCTAGGGGTTTGAGACCAACCCAGGCAACTTGGCGAGACCTCATCTCTACAGTATTTCAAGAAATTAGCCAGGTGTGGTAGCATGGGCCTTTAGTTCTGGCTGCTTGGAAGGCTAAGGTGGAAGGTTCGCCAGAGCCTAGCAGGTAGACGCTGGGGTGGCCATGAGCGTGCCATTGCACTCCAGCCTGGGCGAAGGAGTGAGACTCCAACTCAAAAAAAAGAAAATTCTAGCTGGGTTCGGTGGCTCCGCCGCACTTTGGGAGGCTGAAGTGAGTGGATTGCCTGAGCCCGCGGGTTTGAGTCCCGCCTGGGCAACTTTGCGAGACCTCGTCTCTACAATAAATAAAAAAAAAATCAGCCGGGCATGGTAGTGCATGCCTGTAGTTCCAGCTACTCAGAAGGCTGAGGTATAAGGATCACCGGAGTCCAGTGGGTCCAGGCTGCAGTGGACGGGAGTGGCCACTGCACTCCAGTCTGGGCGACAGAGTGAGACTCCAACTCAAAAAAATAAAAAAGATAAAATAAATAAACAAATAAATAAATAATAAAATTCTTACTCTACAAGTGTTGGTTGCGTCTAAAAAATTCATTTTCCCTTGTTAACATGAATAGGGAGGGAGGTAAGAAATCATTCTGTAAGAGTCCAAAGACTTGTGCTTCATCGTCTTGCTTCTGAATGTTCTGGTTTTCTCTGCAGGCCCCTTTTGGATATGTGCCACGTTGGTCTTTGCCATAGCAATTAGTGGGAATCTTTCCAACTTCCTGATCCATCTGGGAGAAAAGACATACCATTATGTGCCTGAATTCCGAAAAGGTTGGTAAATAGTTTGACTCATTTGGAATGCTGTCAGTTTCCAACCAAGAGTTCCTTTTACCCCT